TTGTGATCTTGCCAGTAAAGTGTCCTGTTTTCAGACTTGTTTAAATGCACTGAACCACTTGACTGTAGAAATCCTCTGTCTGACACTGAGAAAGTTTAAAGCAAGCTTGCCTCAGTCACTTCTACCTTCTGCTTTAATTTGGACTAGTAATTATGTATTGCATGCAGTGATTAAGGAAAAAAGAGAACCTGAAGGGAGGGCATCATTCTCCTAAAATGAGTCTCTGAGAACACGCATGGCTGAAGTTGATAGAGGTGGTTTTGGAGGGTGAGGGGCAGTAAGCTGTGCAGGTCTGAGCTACATTCATGGTTTCTAACAGGACTCTACAGACAGTTGGGAGGACAGGAGACTGGAAGTAGAAGCTGTTCATCAGGAGCCCCAGTCTACTACAGCAGAGCATCCAGTAAAGGAGGTAAAACAGTCTCTCTGCTCCATCTTGTGGGCAAAGCTAGGCATTGCTCTTGATGGTTACACACAACAAAGGACTAGACCAGGGTTGGGCAATTTTGGCTGAGAAGCCACATAACCAAGTTTTGGCAATGCTTCTATAATGTAACCATTCTGGATGGGGTTGAGCTCAGCAGAGCTGGAGATTGCTTCAAGAAAACAAGATGGCTTGTGATACTGCTCAGATGTAGGTGCTGTCCTAGTAATGACCAAATCAAGTCTGTTGCATTGATTGCACAAATTGGATCTTTGTTCTTGAGAAAGCTCTCCAAGTTCTGGTTACTGAGCAGCACAGGTTGTCCTGGCAGGCAACAAGGCCAGGGGAAGTTGCTAGCTGATCTGCACCAAATGGCCAGGGACACATGAACACACTGCCAGGGTGCCTGCTGCACTAGTGTAGCTTCCCTGCACACTGAAAGACAGAGTCTTTCAGAAGATATAATTTTAACAAATGTATAAAAAGTTGTATACTAAAAATCAAACACCCACTATAACATTTTAATTTTATTCCAAAAAATATTTTTGTCCTGATTCATAACAGCTCAAAATAAAGTTACTCTTGTATATAGTTGGGGTGGGAGGTTGTGTGCATGGGGTGGGGGGCTGAGCTGGGTGTATTGTTGGGAGGATTCACATGTGGGGGGCTGCCTACACACTAGGTCCCAGGGGCTGGCTGGGGGAGAGGGGGGCAAGGGGTGTGTACTGCAGAATTCACTGCCCACCTCTCGCTCTCTTGCGCACCCCGCCCCCCCCAGTCTGGTCTGTGGCACTGCATGAGGCTGAGCTGTGCCTGCTCTTTGCCCATCAACAGCACTGCCCTGGTCCCAGCCAGCAAGCACAGCTTCCTGGTGGGGCTGTCTTTCATCCACTTGGCTGTTCACAGCTTGCTGCTCATCGCACTGGGTGTACAGAGTGGGTGGCAGGTGGCCAGGAGCTGGACCCCTGCACACTAGAGTGGGATCTGCCTGGCTTCAGCTCCCCCACCCTGCTTGGCTGGGTGTGTAGTGCCCAGCACATGTCCTCACAACTGTCATTGCTTCCTCATACTATCTGCTGCCTGGAGCAGCTCAGGAGGGGCAAGGGCTGTGCAGCAGCTGGGTGGTAGCCCTGCCAGGAAGCTGTGCATGGTGGCAGGGGCTGGAGTGGGTGCACTGTGTGGGCTGCCCTGTGCAGAACTCAGCACCACAGGGGCAGCCCTGATCCAGATATAATCTATTAGTGGGTTGGATCTGGCCTGTGGGCCATATTTTGCCCACTTCAGGACTCAATGCTCAAGAGAGGGAAGCAAGATTAACTATGTTACTGCAAGCAAAGTAGGTTCTTCTGCAGGGGCCTTATGCACCATAGGCATGAAGATGAGATTCTGACATTTAGCAAGAATTGCAGAGAAGGAGTCTGATGTCTGGCTTAATGTTGCTTGGAAAATTTAAACTATTCTATTTTGATGAGGTATACAAAGTATTGAACTTCGTGTCAGTGCTAGGCTTGTTCTCTGGCCTTGGCTTTTAAGCACTGAAGGTCACACACGAAATATGCTCAGTGCCAAGTTCAGGGGACACTTATTCCTTGCAAAGTGGTTGTAACAGGAACCAAGGATTCAGAACTGGATTCTGTAATTGGCTTTGCCTCTACTGAGCTTGGACAAATTACTTCATCTCTGTGGCATCACCTCTTTACTGTAAAACGGAGATAACTAACCTGCCACATGGAGAACAGCTGCTCTTTACTCTTATTGGGATGTGTTGTATAACTGCTAGCAGGCCTCAGCCTTGCCCTCCTCTCACTTTCCCTTCCCTGTGTTCTTTTATCAGGTTACTACAACAGAGGCAGCAGAAACGGAGGACAGGCAGCTGAAATCCAGGCCCCTAGTGCAGAGGCACCACCTTCAGAGCTCAGATCACAGCTATGCCATTGCTGACTGTACTTCCTTGAAAAAAAAACTCTTTCAAGCCCTGGAAGAAAATGAAAAACTCCGGAAATGCCTGAAAGTTAAAAGTGTAGAACTAAAGAGGATACTTGTGCGGCTCCAAACTTGTAAAAAGGAGCACTGAGAACTCCAAGCTAACCAAGCTCCTGGAAGGGTGCTGGGCCTGACTTTCTAAACACTCTTCTACCTCCAAGAACAGCACCTCGAGAGGCTGCTGCCTAGTGCAACTTTCCCATGGGCTAGGTGACTTGGTCTTGTTGCTGTAGTTTCCCCTGGGCATAGCTTTACATTCACACAGATCATAACTGCCTCGTGGACAAGAGCTGAGAACTAGTGCCCACAGTCTGAGAGAGAAATCTGAACGCATGAAAACCCACACTTGTACATCATGCTTGAGTACTTGTAATGTTAGTACAGTTGTTAAAGGGGAAAGGAGAAAATTGACAGGGGACTAGGAGATGCTACAAAAGTTTCCTTGGATGCTGTTGCTTTTAGTATGCCATTTAATTGACGGTGAGAAGTGGGTAATTTTAAAACTTCCTTAAGGCATCTTTGCCTGTATTTTGACAAGAGTTAATAGTACTTATTTTTCTCCCATATGTAAAATATAGGTGGTCAGAAGTATCTCACCTGTAATCCTCCTGTAAATGTAAAACAAAAAACAGTTGTGAACTAATTCTAAAGCTACAAAGCAGGTGAAGGGGTCAAAAAGCCAGTTTGCAAGTTGTATTAGGGTTGTTCTATTTCCCTTTCATTCTGTAGGCTGTAAGAAAAAGGATTTACTTTTTTGACAGTAAAAACTATTTAAGCACAGGAAAACATGAGGGTCAGTGTTGACTGTTTATTACTTACAAACTTTATGACTTTTTTATGTCTCCTTCTTCTTAGTCTAAGTATTGAAATTTATCTACCTGGTGGTGGCATTTTTTTCTGTAATTAACAATAAATGTGTTTAATAACTTTTGTACTTCTGAGCATTTCATTTTCAGACAATCCTTCTATTATGGCTAATAACGTTCAGTAGCAGTGCCTGGCTCCAATCATATGTGAGAGATGGTAAAAACAGGGGCAGGTTTGAACATTTATTAGAGACACAGGCCTTCTCCCTTGTTACTTAATAACTTGCCATAGACAGGCCAGACTTATATTTATAAAATAGAACTTTGAAAGAGAATCAAATCAGGAAAAGGTTTATATGGACAATCCAGCATTTTCCGCTTCACCAGCTGACAAGGTAAATGAAGTATTTGGTGCCTAGAAAATTAAATCTGCATCAAAAGGTACCTGGGGTAGTTTTTAACTAACATTCATTCAAAACACAAAGTTTAGTGCACAATTAACATATACGTAAAATCTGTGGTGATAAGTAATGAGAACTCACAAATAACAAGGAGATTTATTTTTTTTAAACCTGGTGACCATCACTGGATTGTAAGATTAGGCAGGGGAGAGACTTCCCAGCTTTTCTGGAACAGCTATAATGAACTGACTCTTTAGAATAATTTCACTGACAACAGTCCTTGCTCATGTGGCTTTCTGTTTTTAAGTGGGAGACCAAGACAGTGACAGGACTGAGCAGAATGGCAATTAGACAGAAACAAGGGGCAAAGATGCATGTCAGGAACATGTTTACTGCTGTTGGTATTAATACCAACAATGCTGTGTCAATATACACTTGTTTCTGTGTCCCTTGCATATAAATGAGGGCTCTCCCAGGACTGACCAGGAGCAGAACTGTTCCCTCATGACCCATTAAAAGCCACCAACTGCTCCTTTCATATATAAGAGCCTTAACTTACTGCTGTGCCAGCTAGGAAACACTATCATCTCCATCAGTCCTCCACCTTTCTGTTGTTGGTGGAGCAGTAGTGCCTCTTCTGGGGGTAAGTCCCAAGCATGTGCTGTGGCTATTCCAGGGACTCTATTCCACAGCTGCCTCTGCTATTGAAGGCAGCCAGCAGAATTCCCATGTTCTCACCTCCTTACCCCATTTGGCACATTACGTTTTGGTCCAGTTTACCTGCATCAACTGCATTTCCCTCTTTTGCTAGAATGAAAGCAACAACTGCAACAGCAAATTCAGCTGAACCGAACAATTCAGATTCTAGCTAATTCAGTTTCTCCCCCACCAAAACAGACTCAAAATTCCATGGAGTTCTTTGCTTAGCAGAAGCAGAATGTGCGCGACAAGGACTGTGGTTGTAATCCTGATAATTAGTCTAGTGTCATAATGGTGCTTAGAATCAGTGTCACTAACAATTGGATGGATTCATGCTGAAAGGTGTCCATGCGATTAGGTAAAGCAGAAAACTTAGTTTCCAACATACTCATTGTTCTCAAACAACGAGCATGTTTTTCATTCAGATCTGGGACAAGCACCACAATCTTTATATCTTTTTTTCCAGTAACAGACTCGATGAAGAAGATTCCTAGGAGGTGGTCACAAATTTAACTTCCTCTTAAGGAAGATTATATTAGCTATCATTTTTAGTTAAGGACAGTGTAACCCGACCCTGTCAGAAGGAAAAGAAGGAAGAGTGGAGAGTCCTCTTCCCTGCTCACAGTGTGAAAGGAAACACTGAGTGTGAACAAATGAGCTGCGGTCACCTTGCAGCAGGAAAGACTGGATCAAAAGATAGCTGCAGCCCAAGCCCCATGCTGCTCCTCCCAGGCAGAGTGCACCACACAGTCTCAGGTCACCTTGCTATTTATTACACCATAGTCCTGGGTAGCACTGCTTCGGAGCAGGTACTCTCTTGTTGTTCCTCAACATAATTGGTATGACACCACCCTCTACATGAACCATACAAATAAAAATGTCTCTTTAAATTCATCAGATCCAGGGGAAGGTTTTGCAGCTTCCGTTGACATGGGTACTGTAGATGATGCCCTGCTTTCTCACTAGATTAGCTATCTGCATCAATTCTGTGAGCTGTTAAGGAAAAACACATAGATAGAGTATGTTCATTAGAAAAGATATACCTTAGTTCAGGATATTTACCATAAAACTAGTTACAGACAGAAATGTCACTACTAGCAAATAACATTATAAGCAAGACACTTATCCACTTATGAAAACTTCATAAGAGATTGACCACTCACTCAGTGCATGCATACATCCTTGTTACAAGGAAATACTGGATTTATTTAGAAGAGACTTGTATTCTTCAGTCAATTCACAATGCAGTTATTCTGAAGTACAGTGAAACCTGTCACTATATTACCTACCTTGCAAAATGATTCTGGGGATGGTTGCAAAGTCAAATCAAACACTTAATAATATCAACCTCCCATCTCTTCTTATCATCCCATATCTTGACCAGTCAATATGAACAGCTCTTCTTTCCACCACTGACGTCACCACCACCATGAGAAAGAATCAATAGAGATCACCCAGACCATGCTAACTCCTCAGAACTAGCAAATCCAATGTCCCTGCAACTGAGGTATCCTAACTGGCAGCTCCATAGTAATATTGACCCCAGTGTTAAGAGCTGACTGCATGGGTGGGTAGTTCCTTTCTTGGCTGCTGGGATTGAGGCCCAGTGACCGGAGGAAAGAAGACTGGAGTCCTGGCTACTTACATTGCTTTGGTATCCTAAGGGCCTCATTGTCAGCAGACATCACTTGGTGCAGAACTCCTCGGAACTGATACAGCACTTTCAAACTCTTGTCTTCACCTACACAAGGGTCATAGAACCCAGGCAGTCCAGCCTTAAGCAAGAAAACCAATATAATTAAGCACAAGAGAACGACACTTTCACAGCTCTTCCACTGGAGCTTTTGGGGTACAACAGAGAAAGGTGGGGAAATTACAAGTGGTTATCTACTCTTTAAAGTGGGCACAGCCAATATCCAATCTAATCACTGTCCAAGACTAATTAAAAGTTCTTTCCACATACATCCTTAACAACTGCAGATAAGCCAATCTCAGCTCCCTGTGACTTTCAGGCTGATTCTCCCACAACAGCATTTATTACACAGCTCATAATAGGCCTAAGGCATTCCCCTCCCTCAAGCTATGACCATGCAGAAGAAGGAAGAAAGTATCAAAAACTGCCTAGATGCACTTATACTAGAGTGGGCTGTGCTCCTGGACAGTTTAGCTGCACTCTGCCTGGTGAGTAAGCTGTACAACAGGAGTGAAAAGGGGCCTGCAGTAGATGTGAACACTAAGAACACAAGGCACGGATGCCAGTTTCCATAGACCTAGAGCCTGTGGAACTGGAAATTGAGCCTCAACTGACAAACATCATCCACGTGCTAGATCCTATAAAAAAATATTTAACAAGGTAATTACTGTATCTTGGATTAGAACAGCTCAAGACTGGAGGTAATTTGTTATTGCCAGATGCAGTTTTCCCAGTTTAACATGAAGCAGCAATCAGAATGAGCTGTCTCTTTAGAAACAAAGGCTTTGTTGCTAGGGGATGAAAGGAGAGGCTGAGAACCATGCCTCTTGCAGCCCATCTTGAAGCGACTCAAACTATTCCTG